ATCCTTAATGTATTATTTAAATAAATATTGTTATTCCCAAAATGCTCAGAACTGAACCCACAGTAGCTAATAGGCTAGATATTGTTTGGCCAGGGCAGCTAGAGAATCGTTGAGCTGTTTTCACCCCCATTCTGGACATTGTGGCTCAATGACGGCATTAGCATAGGAGGCTGCCATAGCAGCCAGGTGGCACAGTGGATAGAGCTCTGGACCTGGGATCAGGAAAAGTCATCTTCCTGAGTTCAAATCTGGCCTCAGGCACTTACCAGCTGTGTGACCCTGGGCAAGTCACTTAACCCTGCTTACCTCAGTTTCCTTATCTGTAAAATGAACTGCAGAAAGAAATAGCAAACCACTCCAGTATCTTTGCCAAGAAAACCCCATTTGGGGTTGGGAAGAGTCAGACATGACTGCAGTGATTGAACAACAGCAAAAAACCCCATTTCATATGCTGAAGTACATCATCTCCTCCCGACTCCTGGGTCTCATATTGTGCGATTTGTTTTTGGAGCCCAGGTGTATACTGATGGAATTACATCTTACTCAATTCAGGGCAAGCATGTCTAGAGATCTTTTTTCTGACTTTGATTGTCATTCAGCATGTTGGCTTTCTGTACCACCTTCTTGTCATCCACATATTTGACAAACATCCATTCAATTCAGCAAACATTAAGTACTGTCTACATTCAAGGCATTAGGCGGTGTGATGGAAATAGAGAGACGACCAAAAGTGTCCTGGTACTCAAAGAAGAGGGAGCCCGTGAGCTGAACTGAGACTTGAAGGAAGAGAAATATCCTGAGAAGGGGTGGTAAGGAGGAAGTCTATTGCCTGCATGAGGGACAGCCTGCAAAAAAAGCAGAAGGAGAGGAAAAGGAAGGCAGAAGAGAATAATGAGGTCTGGGTCAGGGTATGGCAGGATGTTTCTTGGAGAAGGAACTGTTTGTCTCTCCACTTGAGAACTCTCTCTCAGAGGGATTGCAGGAAGAAGAGACGTAAGTTTGCTAGCCGTAAGGGAGTACAAGGTGTCAGTTAAGTGCAGCCCCTGTTTTCCCAGATGCTGTGATGATAGAGGGCAGAGTCTCTGCTGGGGGCCCTCTTTCATCACATGGCACAACGTAGCAGGATAATAGCAGGCCTGTAATCAACTTTTACTAAATTGTGTCAGACGATGCTTGTCAGATTTGAGGAGGCCAAGGAGGATAAGCTTTTTGGATTCTGGAAAGCGGGAATGGAGACAGCAGAGAGATCCGGTAGGGTATCTTGATCTGTGCATACGTGGGGATCAGGTCCTTAGTGTTCTGTTTGACTCACTTTCAGCCCCAGCTTCTTTGCCTCATCCCTGGTTGGAGGATAGATATCATACACATAGGAGACAGATACCTTGTAAGTAGAGGCTCCATCAGATGCTTTGTCGGACCAGGTGTCCAAGGTGCTGTTTGTAGGAGGGTCCGGGTGGCTTTTGTTGTTTAGTCAAATAGTTATGACCAACTCATCATGACCTCATTTGGGGTTTTCTTAGGAAAGATACTGAAGTGGTTTGCCATTTCTTTCTCCAGCTCATTTTACAGATGAGGAACTGAGGCAACCATGGTTAAGTGGCTTGCCCAGAGCCACACAGCTAGTAAGTATCTGAGGTCAGATTTGAACTCCTGACTTCAGGGCTGTAACTCTATTCACTATACCACCTAGCTGCCCTGTGCCACTTAGATGCCCTGCAGGCTAAGGGTCTGCTGTCTGGGAACTGAATAGTTAGGGAGAATTAAGGTGTTTTTCTCAGATGATTCCCTTACACAGGGCAGATTATCTTATTGAGTGAGGAGTCCTTCAGTCCAGTTTCTGGACTGGAGCCACAGGTCTATCTCTTCTGGGTCAGGGGATGGGTAAAGGCAGAGTAGGCGATGGAGCAGAACGTTTTGGGTAACTGGCGCCAAAATATTCTGCTCCATTGCCTACGCTGCCTTTGTTGACTTGAGTGTCAGTACGGAAGTGGAGTTCTCTCAGACTGGGGACATTGAACAGGCTGGATAAGTAGGAAAGTAGGCTTCTACATTGAAGCTCTTTTAAGTGGGGTCTCTTCTCAGTCCAGTGATGGCAAAGGGGTCTTATTGTTAGCTGTGCTTTCCACCTACCTTGGAACTTGGTTATAAGGCATGATGAGTGTTGTGTTCTTGCATATTGAAGGCAAGCAGCATTTGGTAACCCAGGGCAGAGGAAGTTCCATCCCCACATGTAGACATAGGTTACTTGGGCATTAAGTTCTGGGAGGGTGCTGCTGCCTCTTACTGCAGCTGCTGAGGACTGGGCCCAAAGATACATTGATACCAGGGCCATATCAACACTCACCAGTCTAAGTCATGGATAAAAGTGTTGAGCAATGCAAGTCCAAAAATACGTCCCTGAGAAGCATTGTTCTAGAGACCTTTGTCCAAGACCTTTGTCTCAATGTGTTTGGATCTAATAATTAACCAAAGGGGCAGCTAAGTGGCAGCGTAGTGGGTAGAATGCTGGGTCTGGTGTCCCGAGGACCTGGGTTCATATCCAGTCTCAGACACTTAGTAGCTGTGTGACCCTGGGCAAGTCACTTCACCATGTTTGCCTCAGTTCCTCATTTGTAAAATGAACTGGAGGAGGAAATGGCCAACCACTCTAGTATCTCGGCCAAGAAAACTCTAAATGGGGTCATGAAGAGTCAGACATAACTGAAAATGACTGAACGACAACAAATTCAACCAAATTTGGTTCCACTCACTTTGCCACCATCCAGGCCAGGGCTGTCAATCAAGCATGTGGCCCTGAGTCTCTCTCTTGTTTTTTTTTTTTTTTTGGCTTTTTTTTTTTGCTTTTAGGCAATTGGGGTTAAGTGACTTGCCCAGGGTCCCACAGCTAGTAAGTGTCAAGTGTTTGGTCTGAGGTCGGATTTGAACTCAGGTCCTCCTGACTTCAGGGCCGGTGCTCTATCCATTGCGCCACCTAGCTGCCCCACCTGAGTCTCTCTCTTGTCTCCAGTGTTGGAGTGCATAGAAGCCAGGCGGGAGGATTTAATGAAAGAAAGTCAATGTACAGCCCACAGGAATCCTTCTTATGCTTTAGTGGCCTCCATTTCTATTTTAGTTTGATACTGCTGTTGTAGTACATCTGTTATCTTGTCCACAGGGATACTGTGCAAGACTCTGTTAAATGCTTTCCAGTAATCTAAATGTACCATATCCACAATATTGTCCTAATATACTAGCCTAGTTACTACATCTTAACAGGAGATGTAAGTCTGCTATGACCTGTTCTTGAAAAAGCCATGTTGGCTTTTAGTGGTCACTGTTTCTCTTTCTAATTTCTCAAAAGGCCCCTCGCTAATAATTTGTTCCAGTATTTTGTTGAGGATAGAAATCAAGCTCATTTTCCTCTAGTGTGCATATTCTACTCATTTTTCTTTAAAACATATTTTCTCTCAAGATCTGAAGTCAGAAGACCTTGGCTATAATCCTAGCTCTGCCACTTATTACCTGTGTGGGATTCAGTTGAATTAGCTCTGTCTATAAAAGGGTCCTGTGGACTCAAAGTCAGGAGGCTTAGTCTCAAATTTGCCTCAAATATTCATTGCCTGCGTAACTCAAGCCATGGATAATGGCAGTCCAGGCACCGCACTGAACCTGCAGCTAATAGATATCTTTGTATTACCTTAGTTTCTTCATCTACAAAGTGGGGGTTTATGCTATTTGCCTCACAGGACTGTTGTGAGGAAAGCACTTTGTGTATCTTAAAGCGATTTATTCGTGCGAGTGATTGTTTTTCTTTTTATGAGAGACTTGTCTCCATTTATATTCAACATTAGAATTATTAAATTTATTATCTTTTAAAATTGTTTTGTTAGAAGGGAATACAAACTTCTTGACAGAAGGCAAAATAGAAAAATTCTCATATCTTATGCTATTAACTCTGTGTGTGTCTCAAAAACACCCTAGCCTCCTTCCATCTTATTAAAGCTTGCATCATTAGCCTCGATCTGCCTTCTCCCTCTATGTCCTGCTTTTTCTGTTGTGTTTAAACTACAGTTGGGGCTCACTGGAAGAGGGCTCATTTTTAGGATATTCTTTAGGATAATTCTTTTCTAGAAGTAGGAAAGTGAATGGACTGTTTTACAGACATTGGATTTTATGCCTTAAAGCCTTAATCACATGCTCAGTTGGTAGCTTTCCTATGTGGAGCTTCATTTTCAAAATGACATATAGGACTTAGGTATTTCTGTATTTCAGTGAATTATAAGGTGTCTGGATTTTTAAACAAAAGTTAATAGCCTCTGTAGGAATCTATTGTCTGCAACTCTGAATAGGTGTGATCCCATGACTCTGTAAACAGCCCAGATCGCTTTCAGTTTTTCTCTTTGAAGCGTTTAAAAATTAAGCCAATAAAATATTTACTCCAAACAGTTTTAGATTTTTCTTATGTGTATTAAATACATCTTTGTTTATCAGTCCCCCCGGAAAGTGAGTAAATGCAAATGAATGACTTCCTAAAGAGAAGCAAAGACCTTTCCCGCCCCTTCCCCCACCCTTGGGAAGGCCTTTGTTGGTCATCATAAGACTGGCTTTAGGATCATGTTCTTTCATTCCCCCTCCAGCTCCACAGGTTTTTCTAAGCCCATGTTGCAGCAGGCTTCGTCTGTGCAGACTGAGTGTATGGACACACGTCCCTTTAGGGCTAAGTCAGGACTTCCTGAGGATGATTTTTATTCCCAGGGCCTATTAAAGGAAGAGAAAGGGAGAAGCGAACACACAGTGATTCAGTGCCTCGTTTGGCGGGGCCTGTGCCAGGCACTTGCCACATGCTGTCTTGTTTGACCCTCCCCCTGAGCCTTTGAGGTCAGGCTTTTGTGCCCCATCTTAAAGTCAAATCAGTAGCATCACCTCCCTTGTGCTCTCCATATATTTGAAATGCTTATTTTTAGAATGAAAAGAAATCTTTTTAATCCAAAAATTTAATTAGAATTGATTTTCTCTTACAGCTGCTTTTGCTGGGATTTTGCACTGGTAAGTTTTATTTGTTTGTTATCATAGTACCTTTGTGAATAAATTTTTCCAAATCTATTTGCTCGTAATTTGAATAACTTTCAGTTTTGCAATATGAATTACATACATACAGCACATATTTACAGGTCTACATCTCTGTTAAAAGACTAATTGGAAAGTTTCAGGTTAGATAAATAGTATAGAGTGATTTTGAAGTTAGTGGCATTTAGGAATGTGATTTAACACTATATGTTTAGCTCAGGTACAGTCTAACTTTTAACATAACTTGGAGATGCTCTAACACTTTTGTGTTCTTTTGCTTTTGTTTTTGCAGGAGTCACATAACAAGTCTCTTTGAAAATGATCGTCATTTTTCTCACCTCTCAACACTGGAAAGGGAGATGGCTTTTCGCACTGAAATGGTTGGGTTCTGTGTATTGTGTTCATTCTAGTACTTTTCAAAGAATGTTTTTTTTGATATGAGACTAGAAGTTGTAAGGTATTAATTAAATCTTACTTGGATTTAGTTTCATGTAGTGAATAGGATTCAAAAAGCAAATCTTGTTCCCAGTGTTACCAAATTGTCTCTTTCTTTAACTGTCAAATTACTTGATTTTTTTTTTTGCCTGATTCATACTTTCAGAGCAGAATATCAGTAATATTAACTGCTTGGGGACTACTGAGGCAAAATTGTGAAGTAGCCTAAGTCTATCTGATGATTTTACTCTTATATTTTTGGTGTCCTTCTCTTCTTCCCTTTCTCTCCCTCTCCCTGGAATGTAGTACCCTCTTGTTATCCCTGGCTAGACCCCACTTAAGCCTGTCTGTCTTCCCCTGTTAGTGCCCCTTGTTTTAAAACTGTTTCTTCTGCTCCAAAAAAATGCAAATAGTCACCCTCATACCCATTTCCTGTAGGACTCTTTATCTTTCCCTTTGGAGGAAAAGTGAGTAGATAAGTTCATTGACTTGTGAATTTATTCAGTAGTTCATTCTGATATGAAGGCACCAGAGGAGAGAAGTTGGCTGCCAGGTAATGAGTTTTTGGGTCACGGTAACCTATGAATTTGACACAAATACTAAAGGAATCTTCAGTGTTTGTCATGACAAAATAAAGGTCCCAGGGTGTTCAGTGGGAACAGTGGAGAGCAGCACAGTGAGTCTGGACTCATATTTAGTCTCACAAGGTTCTCAAGAGCCTAGTACACACGAGATACTGTGCGGAATCACAGCCAACCCAAGCGCCCTGGCTCTCAGCATTTCCCACAGGCCTGGTGCCCGTTGCTTCACCTCCTGAGGTGGTAAACTAGATGGCCTCTTGGTGATCCTAAGTATGCCCCACTTTTTAGCCCATTTACAGACATTAATTATGGCACCCTTCTCCTTCAGTCTTTGCCAATAACCAGCATGTTGGCTCGCTACTCTAGAGGAGGACCTATAACATACCAATACTTTCACCTCACTATTAATGACTCTAGAAGATACAAAAATGTTGCAGCTGAACGGAGGAACAGCTTGCAAGCTCTTCTCAAGCAAGAATAAAAGAATCTGCGGAGGGGGTTTCATAATGAGCACAAAGTCCACCAAAACCCCCCCATCATTTCTTTGGACGCTCAGCCTGAAAAGGCTCTGACCTTGAAGATCATTGAAGCTTTTGCAGAAATAACTAATGCTAAGGATAAAGAAATAGAGAACGTCTATGGGGAACTTGATTAGACATCCTCTGAATTAAGTGAAGATAGACGTTGCTGCTTGGTGACCTTAGGACAAAGATGGGCACGTGTGGAGGAGATCTCATTTGGGATCAATAAATGAAAGATCTGTGGCTGTTAAGGAACTTCTCACCCCTGCACATCACACATGCTTTCTTCCAGAAGAGGTGCTGCATTTTTCGAGCACGGAATGGCGTCCTAAAATAGGAAATGAACTCTGTCTTAACCAACAGAAAGAAAAGAATGCTTACAATCTAAGTTGTAGCTTTAGAATGATCAGACTGTCTGTTCTGTCAGATGGTTGACTGGTCACAGTAAAGGTTAAAGCCAAAACCACGTTAGAAGAAAAGAAGGACAGTAAGAAGCATTGCCCACGATTCCTGCTGAAGCCAGTCATCCACAGAAGAAGTGGAGTGAATCTACACAGGCGGGAGTGAAAAGCAATGCATTTGCCAAGGGTTTTAGTGCAGTCTGTCCTCCATGCCAGCAACAGAGTGTAGCCCAAACCGTGGACTCCGCCTGCACTCCCTGAAGAAGTGGACCGGCCCTGGAGAAGGCCCAAGACAAAGCAGGAGTCGGATCTGGCTCAGGCAGGCAGCTCGGGGCTCAGTGTCCAAGACATCTAAAAGAGGGGAAGATGCCACAAGTTAGGAAAGATCATGCAGATGCTGCTTAGGGCACAAGGGAGATCATTGCCATGGGCCCACATGGCTCCTTTCTAAAATCTTGGGGCATTCCCTCGGCAAACCTCAGAGCTGGCCTTGATGGAACGAAAGGAAGGAGAATGAGGACTTCACAGAAGATTTGCTACAACAGACCCACAACTGACAGAGGAGTGTAGGGAATCCGAGATACTGCTGTGATTGTTGTTTATTGGTTTGAAAAAATTTGACTTGGTAGACCAAAATTCAGGCTTGAAGGCTTCCATCAAGCAAGAAGTCTGTCCTGTACCTGTTAGAAATATGTAAGATTTAGTGACACCAGATGATGTAATAGCATGGATGGTGAATTTTATGGAATGAGAAGTTGTGGAAGGGTTGTTACATCTGCATCGATTGAAGCAGTGCCCTGCCACACTAATAAAATCACAGATTCATCAAATAAAGTCTGAATGACTAAGAATAACTCATTGTTACAGGCTACTAAAGCAATTTTCATATTAAAATTCAGGTAGGGAGATATTGCAAATATGCCCATTTTATAGATGAGGAAACAGGCTTTAGACAGGTAATAATTTTCCATTGCTCACAAGGGTAGTAAATGCTTGAGCCAAGATTCAAATTCTGACTTCAAAGAAATGTCCTTTCTGCCTTGGTAGGTCCCCCCCCCACCCAACCCCATATATTACTTCTCCTAGGAATTTTTGAATTTTAGAACCCTTATTTACTCCAGTGAATAACTCCATTGGTGAAACTTAAGAAGTATATTGAGTCCTTAGAAAAGTAAGAGAGTGTGTGTGTGTGTGTGTGTGTGTGTGTGTGTGTGTGTGTGTGTGTTGGGTGGGATGTTGGAGCTTTCTCAGTGTATTTCATCCTGCCACGTCTTCGTCTACTCTGCCTGCTCACAATGCCAACCCTCCTAGTTTCTCATTTTACTACAGTAGAACTTACTTAAAGTTCTTTGTAAGATATTAGTATTAAAACACTTGAAAACCTGGTCTTGTCCGCAGTGCTTTTGCAAAAGTGTAGTTAAAAAAGCTCTTCCATAAGCTTAGATCATTGAATTCTAAGAAGGCATTAATGAGGAGAAACCAATAAAGTTAATAACAGCCATTACTTGTCTAATTGCTTTGTTTTTTTTAAAAAAATACATTTTGTGTGAGATAAGAGCAGACAAGAGTAATTGAATTTGAACATAACTCGAATATGTTCTCCTTTTAGGGACTTTATTATTCCTATTTCAAAACCATCGTAGAAGCCCCTTCATTTTATAATGGAGTGTGGATGATTATGAATGACAAGCTCACGGAATATCCTCTTGTGATTAATACATTGAAACGATTCAATCTGTACCCAGAGGTGAGTTGATCAGATTCACTTGATTTGCAGAGAGTTCCCAGTTTTATATGTTTTTGCTTTAAGTGCTGACTCTTAACACTGAATGTATAATTCATACCTGAAGCCTTCTACATAAAGGCAGATAACGTATCTCTTAAATTTTATTTTTTAGGACAAAATAAGCCATTTTTAAGAGAGGAAATGGCATAGATGAGGATTATTGTGCATAAGGGTATGACTTTGGTAAATTCCTGGCAGATAATCACATTCTCTTGCATAGAAAATAGGAAAATCACCTAGGCTCGTTCACTGCTTTCTTTTCCTTTCTTTTCTTTTTTTTTTTTGTCTAGGCAATGGGATTAAGTGACTTGCCCAGGGTCACACAGCTAGTAAGTGTTAATGTGTCTGAGGCCAGATTTGAACTCAGGTCCTACTGAATCCAGGGCTGGTGCTCTATGCACTGCGCCACCTAGCTGCCCCTGTTTGCTGCTTTCCTATAGACATAGTTTTTATGTAATGAATTGTGAGGCTTATAGCAAATGCCTACTATGATGAATTAGTCATGCTGAAGGTTATGAATGAGCCATTTCAATAATGAATTTATCAGATATCAGTTCAACACAAGAGTGTCCTATTTATCTGGCATTTCAATTGCTAGGCTACATCTTGAACAGAACCTCTAATGCAGACATTTGCAAAACAAAACGAAACAAAACAACCTGACTTTTGAGCAGTAGAAAAAATCAGTATCATGACATTTGAAGAAAGGACGTGGAACCGCACCTCAGGCTAGAGTGTATTGACTCAGAGTCATGTATGAAGTGATGTTTTGTTTTGTTTTTTCAGTTGATGGCCTCTGATTCATCTCTTTTGGGGAGAGAGATGAACTAGGTGGTCCAATAACAATAATAATTCATCTTTACATAGTGCTATAAGGTTGACATAATACTTTTATGTTGTCTCATTTGATTCACATGGCCTCTTCTCCCATCCAAATGGTCCAAACGACTGAGAAGTGTCCTCACTTCTAGGAACCTTCATTATTAAATGCACCTAACAAAGAGACAGCTCCCAGTAAGCAGTTCCTAGGATGCTCAGGGCCTACAAGAGCAGTGTGCTTTCCAGGCTGTGTGATGCAGCTATTTCATAATACAGTGGCCTCGAAGGAAGCTCTGCAGTTGTTACTTGGTAACACTCTGCTCTCTTTTTAGAGAATTTCCATCATGTGTTCTCAGGTAAGGAAATGCTTTAGATGTGATTGGACTCGAGAAGAATACATTGGGAATTATCGGTCATTCCCTTCACTCTTGATACTTCACCCATCCTCCTGCTGATGGAGTTTTTGGTCCTAGCAGTTCTGCTGGGTGGCTGTTTGTCTGCCTGAGTTCAGCATGAGGTCATAGTCTGCCAAAATACATATGTCTTTTTTCATGTCAACTCTCCTCTAACCACACCTTTCCTCTACTCAAGCAGCTGAACTTTTTTGAACCTCTGGAAGACCGCACATTTCTTTCCTCTTAAATTTCATCACTATCATCATCTTCTTCCCCATCAGTACCACCACCACCACCACCACCACCACCACTGCCATCATCACAGTATGTATACAGAGCTTACTTTATGCCAGGTACTGTCCTGAGCTGTATACAAATATTTTCTCATTTGATCCTCCTAACAGTTCTACCAGGTGGGAACTCTTATTAGCCCCATTTTACAGTTGATCAGACTGTTAAAAGAGGAGTTAAATGACTTGCCCAGGGTCACACAGCGCCAGATTCGAGGCCAGACCCAGTGTTCATCCAGGAGCTACCAATTGCTTTCATTTGTACCTCACAGCAGAATTAGGTTCAGTGTGCTGTTCTTGAGAGAACAGGAGCCTCTCCTTTCATATTTCATCAGTTACCGAGTCATACCCATTTGACCTTTTACAATCACTCTTGCCCCCTTCTCTCCATTTCTATTGATCATTACCAGCCATATGGGCTATTCTGGAAGATCCTGGAGCTGTCTTCCTTCCTGTCTTTCACCATGAAATGAGTGTAGTTAGTGATTTATGTGCCATATACCCTTACTAGATGGTAGGGCAGGGATTATTTCTTTTTTTACAATTTAATTTTTTCTTTTTTCTCAATCACATGTAAACAAAAATTTTTAACATTCGTCTTTTTAAAATTTTTAGTTCCAAAATTCTCTCCTTCCTTCCCTCTCCTCCTCCCTTGAGAAGGCAAGTAATTTAATATACATTGTACACGTGCGGTCATGTAAGAGATTTCCATATTAGCCATGTTGCGAAAGAAAACACAGACCAAAAAACCGAAAATGATAAAGAAAACAAAAGTAGTATGTTTTGATCTGCATTCAGAGTCCATCAGTTCTTTCTCTGGAGGTGGATGGCATTTTTTTCATCATAAATTCTTCAGAATTGTTTTGATCTTTGTTTTGTTCAGAGTAGCTAAGTCCTTCACAGTTGATCATCGTGTAGTATTGCTGTTACTGTGTACAGTGTTCTCCTGGTACTGCTCACTTCACTCTGCATCAGTTCATGTAAGTCTTTCTAGATTTTTCTGAAATCATCCTGCTCATCATTTCTTAATGCACAATCTTTCGTGTACCTAATCTATTTCATTGATGAACCACCCTATTTCTTAGAGGGTACCAGATTGTTCTGATGATTACTACTTTATAATATAGTTTCAGATCTGCTAAGCTACCTTCCTTCACATTTTTTATTGATTCTCTTGATATTGTTGACCTTTTATTCTTCCAAATAAATTTTGTTGTTTTTTTCTAGCTTTATAAAATAAATTTTTGGTAATTTGATTGGTATGGCATTGAATAAGTAAATAAATTAATTCAAGTAGAATCATCATTTTTGTTATATTGACTCAGCCTACCCATGAGCAATTAATATTTTTTCGCTTGTTTGGGTCTATGAAAATTGTTTTGTAATCGTATTTATGTAGTTTCTGGGTTTGTCTTGGCAGAAAGACTCCTACGTTTGCATCAGTATTCATTAGGGAAATTAGTCTTTAGTTTTCTTTCTCTATTGCCCTTCCTAGTTTAGATATCAGCACCATATTTATGTCATAAAAGGAATTTGGGAGGTCTCCTTTCCCTGTTTTTCCATATAGTTTGTATAGTATTGGAATTAATTGCTTTATAAATGTTTGGTAGAATTCACTTGTGAATCCATCTGTCCTTGGGGATTTTTTCTTAGGGAGCTCATTTATGGCTTATTCAATTTCTTTTTCTAATATAGGGTTCTATTTCCTCTTCTGTTAATCTGGGCAATATACATTTTTGTAAATATTCATCCACTTCACTGAGATTGTCAGATTTGTTGACATATAATTGGGCAAAATAGCTCCTAATGATTATTTTCATTTCATCTTCATTGGTAATGAATTCACCGTTTTCATTTTTGATACTGATTATTTGATTTTCTTTCTTTTTTAAAAAATCATATTAACCAGTAGTTTATCTATTTTTCTTCATAAGACCAGCTCCTAGTTTTATTTATTAGTTCTGGGGTTTTATTACTTTCAATTTTATTAATCTCTTCTTCAGGATTTCCAATTTACTGTTTAATTGGGGATTTAATTTTTTTTTAGTTTCATGCCCAATTCATTGATCTGCTCTTTCTCTGTTTTATTGATGTAAACATTTAAAGATATAAATTGTACTGTTTTGGCTGTATCCCACAAATTTTGGTGTGTTGTCTCACTGTTGTCTTTCTCTTGAATGAAATTATTGATTTTTCTATGATTTGTTCTTTGACTCACTCCTTTAGGATAAGATTATTTAGTTTTAATAAATTTTAATCTGTATTTGCACAGCTCTTTATTTGATACAATTTTTGTTGCATTATACTTCTGAAAAGGATGCATTTAATATCTCTGCTTTTCTGCATATGATTGTGAGGTTTTTATGCCCTAATACATGGTCAGTTTTAGTGTAGGTACCATGTACAGCTTAGAAAAAGGTATATTCCTTTCTATTCCCATTCAGTTTTCTGCAGATGTCTATCATATCTAACTTTGTAAAATTCTATTCATCTTCTTAACTTTTTTCTTGCTTATTTTATAGTTAGACTTATCTAGTTCTGAGAGGGGAAATTTGAGGTCCTTCACTAGTATGATTTTACTGTCTACTTCCTCCTGTAACTAATTTAACTTTTCCTCTAAGAATTTGGATGCTATGCCTTTTGGTCCATATAAAATATTGATATTACTTCATTGTTTATGGTACCTTTTAGCATAATGTAGTTACCCAGCTTCTCTCTTTTAATTATGCCAATTTTTGCTTTTGCTTTGTCTGAGATTATGATTGCTACTTCAGCTTCTTTTTTAACCTCACCTGAAGCATAATGGATTCTCCTCCAGCCCCTTATTTTTACTTTGTGTGTCTCTTTGCTATTTCTTGTAAACAATGTATTGTTGGATTCTGTTTTTTTTAAATATAAATTTATTTATTTTTAGTTTTCAACATTTACTTCCACAAGATTTTGAATTCCAAATTTTCACCCCATCTTGCCCCTCCCTCCACCCCAAGAGGGCATGCATTCTGAATACCCCTTCCCCTAGTCTGCCCTCCATTCTATCTCTCCTCCCCCTTCTCTTATCCCCTTCCCCTTCTATTTTCCTGTAGGGCAGGATAGATTTCTGTACCTCATTTCCTGTATTTCTTATTTCCCAGTTGCATGTGGAAACATTTTTTTTTAAACATGTGTTTTTAAAACTTTGTGTTCCAAATTTTCTCCCTTCCTCTCACCCCACCCGCCCTCATTGAAAAGGCAAGCAAGTCAATACAGGCCATACATGTGCAGTTATGCAAAACACTTCCATAGTAGATATGTTGTGACAAACTAACTCTATTTCCCTTAATCCTATCCTGCTCCCCCCACATTTATTCTATTCTGTCTTTTAACCCTGTCCCTCCTCAGAAGTACTTCCTTCTGATTACCCCTTTCCCAATCTGCCTTTCTCTCTATCATCCACCTGCTCTCTTGTCCCCTTCCTCCC